TACTTCAACGATTTCTTGTCGGAGTGTAGCAATTTCCAGCTCCGTAAGAACGTGACCAGCATTGTCCTGGTCCATATCAGTGGCCGTCGTATTCGAGGTGTCCGCAACAGGATCCATACCTTTATCCGGTGGAACCGCTTCGCTACGGGGAGTCTGCTTGTACGAGCCATATCGAGAGGTCGCGATTCCGTTCATGTCGACAAGTAACACGATTTCGTAAATTAAAATTATTTAGTAGGGGAGTAAAATCTGCTCTACTAAATAATAAAACAGCATCAACCAATCGCACGTGATACTTTGATACTATTGTTATTCTAGGATGCAACGAAACTGCTCAATTTTATTTACCCTATAGTGGCGCCATCTTTAGGCAAACATTATAAAAAAACAAAGAGTTTCAATGGTTGAACAAGAGTTGAAATTCTTCGATAATGAATTCTCTAAATTTTATTCTATAGTTAAAAAATAATCATAGGATTGAAAAATCAGGACACTAAATGTTACACAATATGCTTATATATATAATATACGAAATTTAATTGTTTAATTTACAAATAATTCTTAACTAATGTTGTACTAAAATAAAATATCGCAAACTAACTTTTCTCAATTCTTATTTATTTATTAGATGCCTTCAGGTGTAAGATGTAATATGAAAAACTAAAAGTGGGAGTGTTTACCACACTCGGCTTAAATATTTATTCAAAATCTACCGCAAATTTTTCTGCTATGAATAAGACGTGAAAGTACCGAATCTCTAAAGAGATAATCCAAAAATATGTCAAAAAATATAATATCTGAATGATGTACATTTTTGCAAACATTTCCTTAGTTTCATATTCATATGTATTTGTTTTATTTATTTATTTAATATATATATGCCATGATTTTGTTTAGTATTTATTGTATATTTTATTTAATCTTAAACCTTTAGCCCTGTATTACGTTTGTAAGAAGTTATTTTCTGTATCATGTTGTAAATTTTGAAATTCTACGATGCACTTTGGAATTGTAAGAATAGCTCAAGTAGAACCAAAAAATTGGAAGAAAATTCTCGTCAGGATTAGGCGATAAGTTTTGTTGCCAACTTAGCGATTTCTCACCAAACTGAGGATATTCTGAGTCCCCCCCCCAAAAAAAAACTGTAGGGGGGAAAAAAAGAAAAGAAAAGAAACTGAAAGTTTCAGATTTTAAATTACGTCCAAAGGGGCGTTTTTTTAACATTCTGTCTTTTACCTTTATTTATTAAATATCACGTTCTTTGCACTTAAATAATAAAATTCAGTTCAAGAGCAATATCGCAAAATAGTTTTAAATTGAAGCATATCTTGAGCATTTTCGATACAGAGTCTTCGCGCGCTGGAGATAAAAAATGTTCTTTTTCTGTTTCCGTACAGTTGCCATTTGGTCGCTTTGATAATCCTTGAGTTTGTTAATCAAAAATTCGTTAAAGTTTTACAAAATATGAAATCGAAAAATTTAAAACAAAAATCCAAATTAAGGTCTTCCACATGCCCATATTCGCAGTTGAGGATTACGTTATTCAAAATTCGATGGCTTCTATGGTACCGTTGTTTCATCACAATGCAAGAAACATACATATATTTATGCAGATATTCTTCATTATTTAATTTCTTTTAAATATAGTACGCAGGGCTCTAATATTTGGTGGCAACAGTTTGAAAAAGAAAACGGACATTTATAGTGAAAAAAATGCGAAATCGCAAAACGAAAACTATAGTCCTTCAGGGACAAAAGCGCCTTAAAAAAAAAAAAAAAAAAAAAAGTGTTATAAAAAAAAAAAGTGTTTATAAAAAAAAAAATTGACAATACCAGAACGATCACAGAATATAAAATACATAAAAATCACAAAAGAATAAGATTTTTATTCTTTTGTACCTCCTACCTAAACTTTCTCAAGCCATGTGGCTCCCCCTAGTATCTTCTGTAACTATCATTACGAATTTCTCCATTTCTGCTTATTTTTAATTCATCAGGTGTGGAGGCAAACGGTTTTAACAGTACGTACTCCGTAAACTATAATTCTAGGGCCGATGAATAAATGAATTACCGCTATGGTAACACCTAACTTTCTCTTCGGTGATTTTTGTTTCACACTTTGTTCTATGAACGATTCTCGTGATCTGGGTAGTCATCCTATTAAAAAGAATTTCAGTTATATATGTATTATACAATATACTATATTATTAAAATCACAGTTGTTTACTTGATTTGGAAAGATATAACGGTCGATTGTTTTTATTGATATTCTCATTTTGCTTTGCATTACCCTGATATTTTGGTTTTCGCTATGTATACCAGTTTCTACTAGGCCTTCGGTAAGTATATTGATCTTTGTAGCAATTAATTATTTGTTTAGTTCAACGATTCACGTACGATGGACGGAAAGTAGATGGATATTAATGGAAACCAGATTCCAATAATTGAATCTGTCACGCGCACAATCAACTCTCTTAAAATGGCGAAGTTTTTCAACAAGTCGTAAATGCATGATGAAGACCCTGAGAAAAACGATCTAATCCGTGCCAAAAAAAACCCCTGAATTATGACATCGAACTTAAAAACCCTAAATTACTCCTAGCGAAGCTTCAAAAACCACAAGATTATTCAACTCAAATTAAAACAAAATGAAAGCTTACATGCTAATACTATCACTGTGGAAAATGGCCCGTCTAACTACTCAGATCAAACGCGCTTTCAGTGATAGTGAGGGATTTACATCCACACGTAATTCTGTCAAAAAACAACTTTCAACTCCACCGCAAAATGAGATAAAACAATCAAATAAATTTGCAAATCTCAACCCAGACGACAGTATAAATGATGAAAATTAGGAGCAACCTCCATTTCAATCCAAATTTAACATTCCACCTACCCTCAGGGGTGATTTTAGTGGAAACTGGGAAGCAATTAAAGGAGAAATGGAAAATAATAATATCAAAAATTACCGCTCTAATATGAAAGGCGGATCATTAATTATTACGGCTTTACGAAATCTATCATTATCGCTTTCTTACTAAATATCTCTAAACTAAAGGAATGCAATTTGCTTTAAGTTGAACTCAGAGAAACCCGTAAAAGTTGTTATTAAAAGGCTACCTAAGAACACTAATCCGGAGTTGATCTAACGGGAACTGATCAGTAAAAACTGCTTTAAAAGTCAGGCAACTTACATCGTACGATATGGCAATTTAATAAATGTTTTAGTTTCCAAGTTGGCTTAAAAAGATCTGTAGAAAGGAAAAGAATTTACAGAGTCGATACCATCAGAGGCTTACAAGTCGCAACTGAAACTTATAAATTGAGACCGGGACCCGTGCAGTGCAAGCGGTACGGGCACTCTGCCACTATAAACCTAGATGCCTAAAAATGAGCACAATTTCCCGAGAAAGAAGACAATAAACCTGCTACTTGTGCCTTATGTGGCGAAGCACACGTTTCGTCCTACAAAGGGTTGTGCCAAACACCCGAGAAATATTCAAAAAGCTATTGAAGCTGCAAGAAACAAAAAATAATCCTTAAAATCAGGAAACCAAAATAAATTCACATGATCAAACGAAGAATTCACTTTTCTACCAAACACCAAAGAACAAAATTGCTCAGAAAACGCTTCAGCCTGGTTTAGAAAGAAAACTCAGCAAGATGCTAAAGAAAATTAATTATCCTTTTTTGAATGGGTAAACATTCACTTATAGAAAGTCATAGAATTCTTTGTGAAATTCAAAGCTGCCAAATCTACTATGGATAAACTTGAAATAGGAATTTCTGCAGTGGATTATTTTTCAAACTTGGTTTCTAGTCTATTAACTTTAAATTAGCAGTTGCAACTTTAGTTTAATTCGCTTCATCTGCGGTATTTTACCCTCATCATCTCTGTTAAAAGGTATGTTTTTATTTTTATCTATTAATATTACTTAGCGTATTTAAACTCATTAAAGAAAAATATGATCTTTCATTTTGTATTTGCACCTCTATGCGATGATGCACTTTATAAATAGTGCATCTTATTTTTGAAAGCAAATTTTAATGTGGTACAATTACTAATATACTGGTCAAAACTCTAAGAAGTTGTATGCTAGCAATAAAGTGATGATACCTGATACCTATGTATTATTCTTAAACTACATTTATAGTTATTTATTTTCTGTGTAAGAATTGTTACTCTTTTCAAATTGAAATAAAATTTATATTTTTACCTGGCCTAGTTACTGAAGATGTCTCTAAAACTGAATATATAAATTATGTGTAATATTTTTAATTAATCCGAAATTTTAGTGCAACCAAGACTGACATTTTTGCTGCGTTCGGAAAATATTGTAAATATATGAATTTATGAAGAATTCTATTATATATAATTAAGAAAGGAATTTTATTTAAGAGAGAATGATATTGAATTAAATACTTCATTTCTTCTAAGATTTGCATTATACGAGTGTGTCCTAAGTACACGAAAATAATATGTAAAAATATTTTTTATAATTGTTAGTTAATTGCAAATACATCTCAAAATTAATAAAAGAGAATACTTTTCAGAATAAAACTGTGCTATTTCGCTTTTAGAGTGGATGCATAGTACTTTTAAATACTTTTATTAGCATTACATGTAAATCTAATCTAATTAACTGTAATGTAAAAAAAAAAAAAAAAATCATGTTTTCGAAATAATTAACAAACATTTTTAATTTTTAATTATGTTTATCAAATTAGGATATATCTACAAAAAACATGTAAAATAATTAGGAATGTTTCATGCATATTAATAAATACCATAATAACAAACAATTTAAATACTCCCCTAACAGCAGACAAAAACCAAAAGTGTAACATTTTTATTAAGAACACGACTCTGCACAATTGCTAATCTTTGCATTAATCAAATATAATTCATTTCAAAATTATAGTAAATATTTGTGTTTGTTGGATTATATATAAGTTTCTATATATTTTTACTGCTGTGAATATTTTTTTGTGTGTCTATTTGTTGCATTTTAAATAATAATGTTATTGTGTATTTTTTAAATGAATTTATGAACACTTTATTGTAAGCATTTATTTCATGTATAAAATTGTAGATCTTTTAATTATGAATCGATGTTGTTGTTGTCTTGTCCATGAATATCATGGAAGAATGGTTGCCAGAGCCGCAATTATGAACTGATCATTGTCTAAATTGTGAAGATAGTTCAGTCAGAAGCTGAGAAATGAACACTCACCAAACTAACCACGGTTGGAGATTTTTGGCCAATGTAGTGACATTTTGGAAGTTTTCAAAAACGTATTTTTGAAGCTGTAGAAGCCATTTTTTTCTTCCAGCTTCCAGAAGTGCTGGGTAATTCCTCTGTCAGTCAGTTCAGTGGTTCAATAAAAAATCATGCAACTGGTAATTGCAGTGTTCTTACTGCACAGTATATCTTAATCCTCTGAGTGGCACGGGTTTTGGAATTTGCTCATGGAAACCTGTAAACAGAATTTGTTTGCTAAATTTGTATTATTACTGATGAATGAATGGAAATATATGAAAACAGAGACTATTAAGATATATCATTTAAAGAAAATTTATCATTATTTAAAGAAATAATTTCAAATTTATCATCATTTAAAGAAAATAAGAGAGCAAAATATTTAAAATTATGAGTTAATACATACCAGGTGAGAAAAAATGTCATGAGTAGATAAAGCCTTCGGCATATAGCACTCTTGCCACAAGCTGAGAAAGCAGAAAAATAATTTGATGTCATAGAACTCTCTTGAAGCTTGAACTTAGTAGAATGAACATGTATAAAATACTTGATAAGATTTTTTATGGCTGCTGTTATATGTGGAAATTACATAAATATGTTGTGTTTTGTTAATAAAATGTTGTTTTGTGTTGTTCAATTAATTATCTTGGATTATAATTTACATTAATAATCATTTCCATCAATTCAAGTGTTGTATGAATTCTGACTAAGAATAAGCTCTTTCAACTGAAATATAGAATTTCTTGAACCATCATAATTACACTGGTCATGCCACTACTTCATAGGATGGAAGAAATTACAATTATTCCTGTTTGTAGCACTTACATAGAAGATTAGTAGTTTCCAAGCATTTAGTAGCATCACTAGTTTAATGTTTTGAGGCTCTTATTACAATAAATGGAATTTAAAAGGGTAAAAAAAGCTGCAAAGAAATCATCTGTGACCATTAATAGCTAAGAATGCCTACGAACATATTTATGATCACAAAGCTAAAGTACACTTGAGAATACATATAGGGTTCCACAGTAACCTTTTCCATTCTCTTTACTTAGTTAATGATTATTAAATGGTCTTGCAGATGTGTGGGAAGAGAGAATTGGACATATTTAAGTTATGATAATGCTGTTCCTCTTCACTTGAACAATTTAAGAAACTTAACAGTGTTCTGCCCTCACAGCCTACTCAAAATCATCGGTGAGTGAAACTGTGGATAATGAGAAAGCAGACACACGGGTATGACAATCTCGGTAACATAAGTATAATTTCACTGTTTTTTTCTTTTTCCACTCACTATTCATTAAACCTCTCTATCTGAATTTCATACTCATACAGTTCAACTGTTATAACCAATTAAAATGAATTCTTTGCTACTTTATGAAAGCATTTTCGCATATGTAGGATAATTATAATAATGAAAACAAATGAATTTGTTTTGATATTAGCAAAACTTTTAGAGATGGATATATTAATTAAGAAATCATTAAGTAAATATTTTTTGTAGAATTATTGTCAACAATCAATTGTTCAAATATTTCACACTTTAATCATAAGACGAAATTAATATTATATAGTCTGAAATCCAGATGTCCAATATCTGGAAAGATCTCAAATCCAGACCTCCAGATAACCTACAATTTCTCTCTTTTTTTCGGGGGGGGGGGGTTATGCTTCATGCCTGTTTTATATTTTTACATAATTAATGTAGAGAATCCCAATTCTTAATTTCCCTTTGGCACTAAATAAAATACCTCCACATTGAATAAACAATAATTTAAGTTAAAATAACATACCGAACAACAATTATTTCAGAAGTCGAACAACAAAAATAAGTGTTATATTTGAACATTTTCCAGGACTAGTTTTGATGGTTTGACTACCGAACCAACTTCCTCAGCTGCCAAAGTAAGTATCTTCTTGTGTATTTATGCTTTATAGCATTTTGTGACTTCTCTTAGTTATTTGATTATATGTGACTGCGAAAAAAAAAAAAAGGAGGGGAACAGTTCTATTATCTCCCGTTCTACTGGGCCGATTGACAAAATTCAAATTGCGTTTTTCATGTCTCGAAAGTGCGATTTAGGATATATATTAGATTTATGTATAGCATTGTTCTAACATAGGTATTTTGACACAAAATCGGACTTTTCTGAAATAACATACCATTTTATTTTCGATATTTTGATTCTACGACTCAAATTATGACTGAATATTAAATTTTGTAACATTTAGTGCAAAATTTATGGAGAAATTCAAAAACTTAACTTAGCACAATTTTTTCAGTTTTCACTAAGAATAATTCACTTGGAGAACTTCTTAGTATGTGCAACCAATTTTCCTTTCCCTTCCATTATGCCGGAGTGGAGAAAAAGGCACCTCATTTCCTATCTTTTTACATTGTGCATGAGTGGGGAAAAAGTCACATCGTTTCTACTTCCAAATAGTTTTAGAAAAGTGTTTAAACCACATTTGATATTTTATCACTTTCAACAAATATGGCAAATTTCAAAACGCACCAATATATAAATTCACGTATATCTTCGGTGAATTTTATTTGGAATGAACTTAAATTTCGAAATGTGAAAGGAAGAATCACACAAGTTTAATAAAAAAAGAGATTAATAAATATATTCCAAACTCAATTAACACTGAGGAGCTAATTTTTTAAAAACTACTTGTGCGTTTTTTACAAAACTTGATAATTTGGCGTCGAGAATGAATTTGAGTTGTAGAATGGAAATATGGAAAAAAAATTGGTATGTTATTTCAGAAAAATATTTGTGTGTCAAAATATCTGTATTAGAACAATGCTATATATAAATCTAATACATATCCTAAAACTTAAATTATTATATTTATGCATTAAATATATTGCAATATATCGCTTATGCATTAAATATATTGCGCAATATATTTATGCACTAAATATATTGCGCTTTCGAGACATGAAAAATGCAAGTTGAATTTCGTCAATCGGCGCAGTAGATATAGAACTGTCGCCCCCCCCTTTTTTTGTGTGCAGTGTACATCTATAGTTCATCCTTGAAAAGAGATATATACACAATAAATAAGTACAAATATACATAAAATAAATGTTATACTTACGCATATTTTTTCACCTTGCACAAAATAGAATAGAACAGTTTAATATCTCCCATTCTATTGGGCTGATTGACGAAATTTAACTTGTATTTTTCATGTCTCGAAAGCATGACTTAGAACATGCATTAGATTTATACAGGGCATTGTTCTAACATAGGTATTCTGATACAAAATTTGACTTTTCTTGAAATAACATACCTATTTTTTCCCATACTTTGATTCTATGACTCAGATTATGCCAAAGTGCCAAGTTTCGTAAAAATTGCAAGAGTAATTTTTTACAAAATTAGCTCCTGAATTTTGAGTTTGGTAAATATTTATTAAAAATCTATTTTTTTTATTAAACTACTTAACTCCTTCTTTCAGAATTTGAAATTTAGGTTCAGTCCAAATAAAATTCGCAGCTATTTTCTGATGCTTTTGGAATTTTTACTTTTTAGTAATTTTTATAGATTTTTGAATTTTAACCTATAAAATTTTTACCATCACCTTAAAGTAGATATAGATGCAAAAAAATAAGAGTTATTTTATTTAAAATTTCCAAAGATTTACATGAATTTATATAGTGGCCTATTTTGAAATTTGACATATTTGTTACAAGTAAAAATGCCAAATATGATTTACGTGCTTTAAAATTATCTGAAAGAATGAACAATGCACCTTCTCTTGCGCAATGAACAATGCACCTTCTTTTGCGCAATGAAAGAAAATAGGTTACTATAAATTAAGAATTTCTTTTCGAGAAGAAAAGAAGTTAATTGTTATTGTCACAAGGTGAAAATTGTGCAGCAAGATACATTTTTAAATTTCTTGGTAAGTTTTTCACCAAATTTTACAAAATTTACTATTTGGGCATAATTTGAGTCTTAGAATCAAAATACGGAAAAAAATCAGTATGTCATTTACGAAAAAGACCAATTTTGTGTCAAAATACTTATGTTAGAACAATAATTTATTTCCTAAACAGTATTGATTAATTGATTATATTATCTCCTAAGTTTAATTAAAGTAGAATTATTTTAAAAGTGTGCATCCATACTGGTAAGTTATATTTTGAAAGATGTTTTGAAGTAATTTGAAAGCAAAATGTTAATAATGTTTTTAACGGGGACTGGAGTTAAATCATCACGAAGAATAATATTACAATTGTAAAAGGAAAAAAATTTAAAACATGTAATTATTGTCATTGATCGGAAATTAGTTGACTTTTCAAGGGGAACAAACCAACAACTCCCGTTCAATGAACAATAATTGATAAAAATACGTAAATATGAAAGTGTTTCGTCTTTACTCGAGTTATAAGTTAAAGCCAAACCGGCAATTCTAGTCAGGCCAAATATTTCCGCGAATAGTTGCTACTCAAAGAACTTATTCTCATGAAGCATTTTAGTCAATTCAATTTGGAGTAAAAATCAATTACTGTAGAGAAATCCTGTAAAACTCGAGTAATCGTCCCCGACACTATCATCTTTATGTATTTGAGTAACTATATTATTTGTAGAAATTAAACATTGGAAATTGTCATTATGAAATCGAAATCAAAGTAAAGTTGAAATAAACATAGAAGATTATAAAAAAAGATAAATAATGCAAACTTTGTAAAAACAAATCAAAGAAAACATAAAAATAATATAAAAATAATATAGAAAATAATATAAAATAGAGATCAGTGAATGTACATGAAGATATAAAGGCCAGAAAGGTATTAAGTAACTTACATTCTTTCTAGTGGGGGAGTTGGCAAATGATATATATAAATCTAGTATATATCCTAAGTTACGGGTGCACAACATTTTTACCAGAAGGTCCACTCACAGAAATGACTTGGTTCCCAAGAGCCAATAGAGTATGCCAAAAAAAAAAAAAAAAAAAAAAAAAAAAAAAAATGGGGGGGGAGGAGGGGCGGTCAATGAAATATGTTGCTTCTTGATTTACAATTCAAACATGTACGATATCAAATTTAAACTGATTTGGAGACCATTACATACGTATGTATGTAAACAAGGAGGAAGGGTGGGTTTCCCTTTCCTCTTGCATGTGCTACTGGAACCAACACATTTATTCCAACTTGGAAAAAAAAAAAAAAATTAAAGTTTGTACAAGGTAGCCACAGTTAAATACATTAACTGATGTTTGAGATTGAATTTTATCAACAATTTTTTATAAATTTGGTTGAAAGCTATATGTTGATATTCATACGACAGATTCCAAGTGTTGATATGTCAGTTTATTTTTTAATTTTGACTTATTTAGATTCATAAAGGCCCGTTTCTCCAATCAGCGAGCGAATTCACATATTAATTGATTGCCATCTGCAATCTGGTGACATGGACCTTATAAGAAATAGACTAACCCAAACGGGTTTTCTCCCTCGTCTGAGGCGTTGCCGGCTGTCACCTTGATCACATCCGGAGAAGTAGGGACGACTTGCAGAAATTTAACATTGGTTGGTTATTGCAGCGTGTATGATTGTCAAGAGAAAGCTGGTTGTAGCGCCTCATTTCACAAATTAGAATTTCTATATATTTTTATTTTTGAAATTGAGATTGATTTTTAAAAAATTAGCATATTTATCAAGCATAATTAATGTTCCAAATAATTATAAAGTTGTTGCATGCTTTCAGGGGTGGATATTTTTTTAGCTTTTCCTATACTGCAAGAAAATTTGTAACTATACTTCTTTTAGAAAATAATATTTTAAATCTGAACTAATAGAAAATTTCAAACAAACAATTTTCTCTTGCAATTTTTATGCTTTTTATTGGTGTAAATAAGTAAAAAGTACTAAAATATTTAAAAACGAATTTTTGAAAGTTTTGTTTAAAATTCTAAATTGTGCTGCTTTTCTAAAATTATAGATAGATGATATTATAGCACAATTTCTATAAAGGAATTGTATTTCAATTATACTATTTCATAATACATCACAGTGATAAACACTTTTGACTCCTTAAACTTTTTTATACATTTAATTCTAATATTAAAATTGTATTTAACCGTAATAATTATTTTTTAAAATTTATTTTTAGTTCTGCATAACATTTTTTTTTATTTACTGTTAATTTAATTTATTAGCCCAAAGCGGCGGTCGCCTGGAAAGGCTGTTAGTTTCGGAGCGGCATTTCGCGCTGTTTTACTATAAGTGTCCGTGTCTCCTTGCAAATTGTTGTTGCCAAATATTATCGCCCTGTATTATTTGTAAAGAAATTAAATAATGAAGAATCTGCATGAATACATGTATGTTTCTTGCACTGTGACAAAAACGACAGTATCTAGAACCATCAAATTTTGAATAGTGTAATCCTCCACTCGAACATGGGCATCTGGACGGCCGAATATCGAATTTATTTTAATCTATTTCATATTAATTGAATTATTTATTTTTAATCTATTTCAATCTATTTCATTTGTAAAACTTTAACGAATTTTTGATTAACACACTCAACGAGTTCAGAGCCAGCACTGTACGGAATATAACAGTTTTATCTCCAGTGCAGAAATTCTAAAGATATGCTGTTTTCAAATGTATGTGGTTTGTGGGTGAAGAACATGATATTCAATAAATATAGGTAACACACAAAACTTTTCAAAAAGGTTCCTTTTGGGCGTAATATAAAATCTGAGTGCTTCTAGATTTTATTTTATCTTTTTTTTCCCTTCATTACGCTCAGAAAATTTTATGCTTCGAATTTTATGAATTATTAAAATAACTAATCCACTTTAATGTTAATAATGCAATGATCATATAATAAAATAAATATGATCGTTTTGTAATGTTATTATAGTTTGGAAAATCACTGCCTGGAAATGTTCATTAAATTAAAAAAACAAATTTATCAGATCTTGTTTAAAGTTTACCTTATTTATTTCAAAGCATCACGTACTATCAATCTTATTTAATTTTACTTTATTTGTACGCAAAATTAAGTTTATAAATTTTGTGCTTTGAGTTTTTACCGTTTAACCAAAGTAAAGAAGTTTTGTACAAGAATTACGTGTGAAAAAAATGCGCGAAATGCAGTAAAAACAGCTTTAATAAGATATATTAAATCCTATTTGGAAAAAACTGTGGCTTTCATAATCTCATCACTTTACAACGTATCACATTTAATAATTAAAAAGAGTTACCTGATACAAACGCCACAGGTTTCAGTGTTAAAGTAAACCAGATCGTCCCTACTCTTTCTTGCCGACATGTCGGTGACGCGTGCCCCGCCCATCGATCCGATCCGAACAAGTATGGCTGGAGTAGCGCACGAAGCGCGCTGTTTCCAGCTCATGAGGAGAGCCAGTAGGCACATGACGGTAGGAAGTCTGACGTGGTAAGAGAATGAGGTGAGGCAGAAGAGGGGCGAGCAAGATGCCGCAAGCCTAGGAATTAGGCCAGACAAGAAGACGCGCCGCAGACGGAGCTGTGCAAGGTAAAGCAATAATGAGTTTTTAAGATAAGATACTGTGAAAGTATACTACATGACAGAACGAGTTTGTAAGATACAAACTCTCAAAGGCATACATTTGCAATTATAGAGTTACA